AGCATCGTCAGAAGACTAACTAAAGAGATTTGGAAACCGCAGTAGCATTACGTACTGACTCGCCTGACACGTCGTGTTGCAGACGTAGTCGAATCGTTTCCTTGCTCCTTGATCTAGGAAATCGTTTCATAGTATTTTAGCGCCTGCAGCTGCAATGTATGGATGCAATACAGGGCCGTTTTGTTTGGTTGCGCCAAAACATGGTCGATTACCAACCGATATACTTCGATCGGTAGGTATATGTGATGAAAACTGACCTCAATATTATTATACTACGAAGCCGTGGCTTGCTTAAACGATCCTCAGGCTACTAAAGACAGGAAACTGGGCGACTGAACTAATTTCAGATTGCTATTCCAACCGGCGGTATCGAAAACATTCAGTTTTCTAATAAACCCGAAATACCGAAATCAATTTTTAGTGAGTATTAAATTTAAAAAAAATTAATTCATCGACAAAATGCTAAATACTAAGCGGAAATTCGATTTACGTTTTGCAGAAGGTCGAGAGCATAGTGAATAAGCGAGGTAGAAGAATTCCTGAATGTTATGTTAGCCAACATCCTTCAGAACGTCCCTTAAGAACAGATCAGTAGGTTGTTCTAGTTTATTGATTGATATGCGGTACGTTAAGACTTTTATTCGATTCGTCTCATATTCATCATGCATCTACAGAATGGCACTCCTTTTGAATTGTTGGATCTCGATCTTTATATTGTTGTAACATCTACCAGTGATAAAGGATGGAATGGAATCGCTTTCCACGACACGGTACAACGAAGTTTATGCTTAAACACCGTTATAATCAAAAAGGCTTGCCGCGGTCACTGAGTAGTGCTGATAAAAAGTGCGCATGCTTGGTAGCTAGGATTCCTCATCACTACTTAATTTTTTGAACGTAACTCTGGATGCTCAAGGTGTCAAATGCGCACCCTCCTTTTTTGTTTACTGAGATTACGGATATAAGGATTGCATGGACAAATCACGGAAACGTCATATATTTTAGTCTCTCTCTGAACGGACGGTCATCATTTTCCATCGAATTTCTTGTTCGCGAGATTGAAGGCTACTACATATTAATGTTTTTGGCTGAATACTCTCCTCGTACAGAGTACCTTTTAGATATACTGACACTCCAGATTGAGAAATCTTGACTAGTTAGAATATACCTTGCATACAAAGGCGAGCATGAAGATTAGGTGATTTTTGATCACTGTTGTACTCATCAGTTGTTTGCAAGATTTGAGTAGTAAGATTATATCTCAAATTTAATTACTTATGCCTTATAGTAGTAACACTACTGAATGATTTGGATTAGTTGTAGTCCATCACCCTTCAGTTTAGTCTATACGTTTTCATGGATTAATAATGCTATTAGTCATCACTGGCGTACATACTTGATATTCAGATATTCGTTTAATCGAATTCTGACTACTGTATTTTTCTTACAGAGTGAGCTCGTCGGTCGCCCTCTCGATCTTCCGGTGCAGCTCGCTAGTATAAAATCTGAATGTTGGTATATCCTTTTGGACGCAGTCCTCTGCCATGGCCGTTATGTCTTTCAGGCCGGCCGCCAAGCAGTCTTTCACAATGTCGGTAAAATTGCCGTCGCCGTTCGTCACTTGCCAGACGTCCTTGTCGAGGTCCAACGCAGGCTCCCGGCAGCCGTTCCTGAAATGCACGATTTTACCTCTGGTGCAAATCGGAACCGCAAAATCCGAGTTACTCTCTGAAGCAGTCGATGGCCTGTTGTAACTGCTGATCGTAAGTGTCGTTCCAGCTGATGGCCATCGCCGACTCCTGGAAGCACTTGAAATATTTGTCGATCTCGTTCAGACACAGTATCTTGGCGGCTGCACACACGCCCAGAACGGTCAGCCACAAGAACGGTGCTCGCACTGTACTGGTCATCTAGCTGAGTTTTTCTTGGCCTGACAGTGAACTTGGTTCGTTCGTATTTAAAGCACCGTCGTCGAACCTGTATTGCCGGCCAGTTTTGGCCCCCGAGGCAGTGGCTGCAGCGGCGTTCGACGAGCGAACAGCTGGGAGTCTGCAGCTGGTAAGTGCGACGGAGTTTGCCCGATCGGCGTCACTCGACCGCTCGAAGACGGTAACCTCAACGATCCGGCGACGGCCGGCATCCGTGAGGTCTTTTGCCAGCAAATTTCTGTTGATACTCCTTGAAGGCCGCAGGTTAAAATTAGCGCCTCGTCAGGTTTCGTAAATGGGTCACCCCTGTGGAAACGGGTGCGCGTTGTTTTTATAAAAAATCGCCTGCTTAGCACTCACGACCTGTCAGTTTGTCGCGATGTTCCGTTGACGCCGGCGGCACTGTTTCTTCGCTTCACCAGCTACCGTGACAATATTATTGACACATCCTGCACAAGTCTTGTTAGTTGCGTCCAGCGAAGCACTCATTGCACGAGCTCATAGACCTCATTTGACTTGATTCGTTAGCCGACGTCGCCGCCACCCGACAGCTGCTGCTTAGCCAAGGGTTACGTTATCCGTAGCAGATTAGATGGTGATCTCTCTTAGCATATCTCTCGTATATGAATTGGATTTTCGGTTAGCGAAGAATTCTTCAAGCGTTAAATCATTAGATTTCAATCGCTCATATTCACCACCACCTCAGACCTAAACCAACGAGTAGTGTGCCTTCCTGATGACCATTTCGTTCGATCAACACGGCACAGGATTGAACAAAGGAATATGGCTGTCAAATAACATCGATTTTGAATGATGAATTAACAAAATATAATGGTAGACAGAAGACGTTGACTTGATTATGCGTCAACAACGGAAGCTCGAAGTTCGAAGAATGATTCTTCGTTTTTATTGCTTATAACCTCACTATAAATAGATAGGTCTTTCAGTGCTGGTTATTTAATACTTCCCTGTTAACTTTACAACGATCAACTAAACAGCGTGACATAAGCGGAAGTGG